AAAAAAAAGAAGAAGAAGGAGGAAGAAAAAGGTTTATTTGTCAGTCACTTTCCCCCATCGCTGCTCGAGCAGGTTACTCCAAACCACAAAACAAGCCGACGCCGCAGGCTCGCCCCGGCGTGCAGGGCAGCAGATGAAGGGAGCAGCCGGGACTCACAGAGCTGACGTCTTTACTGGGCGTTATTCCTTTATTTTGCTGCAAAATGGTGTTTACATACAGATAAAAGAAATCGATTTTAGTTTAGCACCGCTCGTTCTCCAGGGAAAGAAAGGGTAAGAAGCAGGAGAAAATCTACATAAATGGAGAAAGAAAGGTAAAAAGCTGATAATACAGGTTTCCATGCTGGTCCGGCTTGTCTTCTTCATTCTGGCTAAGAGCTCAGCGTTTGCCAATTTACGCAGGGATCCTACGCGTTTCGAGAACTTGGTTTAAATGACAAAAAGAACACACTCCTCGCGTTTCACTCGCGAATACGCTCTACTCTAGGGGTGAACACTTCGGGCACAAGTTCATGCGGGAACGGGCGGACTCTGCTCTAGTACATAGAAAGAGCCTGTTCTCGCATTACTACTCTTTTCTTTTTCATCCGCCGGTTCTGAAACCAAATTTTAACTTGCTGATCGCTTAAATTCAGTCTGTTTGATAGTTCTTTCCTCTTCTGTCGGTTAATAAACTCATTGAGGAGAAACTCGTTTTCCAATTCAGCAATTTGTTGTTTTGTGTAAGGTTTCCGTTTCTTTCTTGATCTCCCCTGGGTGGGGCACCAAGGCAAACCTACAACAAACACGTCGATAATTTAGTGGGTCAGGTCTGGGTATTAAAGAGAATATGAAAAAAACCACGCAAGACAACATGGTTAAACTAAGTCGGCAAATCGGGCAAAGCACATCTGACAGCACAATTTCTATCTACCTCCGAGTCGCATTAAGCGATTATCGCTCCGAATGGGTTACAGGGGGGTTACAAAGCAATTACAGGCATCTCTTAGAAAGCAAGTATCGCTAGGTCGCCTCTAACTAAAGCGAGATATTTAAGGCATACCATCCTGCACTGAAGGTCTGAGGCATGACTGGACTGCTGCGGGCTGAACTGTCAGGTTCAAGTTGACGGAATTCTTGATGTCCTCCTTTAAGCTGGAAGTGCAGGAATTCACTTCAAAAAGAGCAGCCGAGCCATGCAAACTTCTCTGCAGGCTCGAGTGGTCATACTTTACGGGCTTTAGGTTGGCTGCGTGAGTAACAGTTGGGTCAGTTGCAAAAGATTGCCTCTGCCGGCATCTCTCCTCTTGTTTGGAGCTCGCATCGTGGGAGTAATATTTATTGTTGTCTTCCAGGCACTCTTTGTTGCCGTTGGAGCTGATGTTGATGGGGACGGAGCCGGGGAGGTAAGGCTGCGCCGCGCCGCTGAACGCGTGGCTCTGCGGCTGGGCTGCGCACGAACTTGAGCAAGTCCAGGGGATGGAGCTCCGGGGGTAGGAGAGGGTGGGCAGAGCCGCCAACTGACTGCCATTCGCCCGCAAATTAGGAAAATAGAAGGAATCTGGAGACTGCAAATTCAAGAGAGAACCAACGTAGCCAGATCTGTAGAGACTGCGATCAC